AACGAGGTGTATCTATCGTATTTAAATGCGTCCGTTCTAATTCGCGTTTCGCAAGCATGGCTGTTCGTAATTTGATGAATCGTTTCAGAAGATGTGACAAGATTTTTCGCAATAAACTTAGCTGCCAAACACAAGTCGATGTAAATAAAGTAGAAATTGTGCTTTTTTGGTCAAAGAATAACAAAAACAAACAAATTAATTAAATTTTGAAAGATACAAATGATTCAATATCTTGAATCGAAAGATGCACATTAATTGTAGGCCATTATAAATCAACATATAAGATATCTTTAAGATATGTCATCGCACATGATTATGTATTCTACGCATAATTTATGACTACCGATGAATATATGTATATGACGAGATAATGTGTTACAATTTTTTTTCTCATCTTTCTTTTTTGCACGATTCTGCGGATTCTAGACCACGGTGATCTACTCGGGAAGCTCTTGGGCAAGGCTCATGGATCTTTGAGTCGACGTGGCATCGGAATGGAGGTCGCGATCTGTGATTTATTTACTATAGAAGAACACCATCATACACATCTTATGTACTATAAAGATTTTCGCAATTGACGCAGTGTTATCATCTGTGCGATTAAAAGTTGATAGCATAGATATGATGCTAATAGATCCGTTGATTGTAAGAAACAGAATTATTAGAATAATGAATTGTTATATTCGATATCTCTCTTATTTCTTGCGATATAGCACGAGAAATGAACATTCTATTTAATTTGCGCGCACATATAATCGTTTTGCACGACCAGGGTCGTATATCAATGCGCGTTCTATGTACAATTACTGTGAATTATTCATAGTGTCTATCAGTATAAAGTAATATATCAGACTTTTATAGCCAATAGGTAGCCAATATATAAAAATGAACTAATGAACATTCTATTTAATTTGTGCGCACATATAATCGTTTTGCACGACTCCAGGGTCGTATATCAATGCGCGTTCTGTATACAATTACTGTGAATTATTCATAGTGTCTATCAGTATAAAGTAATATATCAGACTTTTATAGCCAATATAGGTAGCCAATATATAAAAATAAACTCTCTCAAGTTTCGCTCTTAATATCATGTTGTGTCAATGACCTGTGATGATGACGATGAGAAAGTAGTTCTCGTTTTAATTTTATATACGCATAAAACGACTGCGCGTATGACGTAAACTTAATATCAATTTGAAAAAAATGTGAGCCAATTGACTGACATTTATTGCAAATTATTTGCGCTTGCAAAAGAAAATCGCCGATGGGGGAACGCATATGATTTTCATAAAATTCTACGCGATTAGAAATAAAACAATTACTGTGAATTATTCATAGTGTCTATCAGTATAAAGTAATATATCAGACTTTTATAGCCAATAGGTAGCCAATATATAAAAATGAACTCTCTCAAGTTTCGCTCTTAATATCATGTTGTGTCAATGACCTGTGATGATGACGATGAGAAAGTAGTTCTCGTTTTAATTTTATATACGCATAAAACGACTGCGCGTATGACGTAAACTTAATATCAATTTGAAAAAAATGTGAGCCAATTGACTGACATTTATTGCAAATTATTTGCGCTTGCAAAAGAAAATCGCCGATGGGGGAACGCATATGATTTTCATAAAATTCTACGCGATTAGAAATAAAAATAAACATGCAATTGAAATGTAATATAATAATCAAAATTCATATATTCAAAGAATATAAAGAGAAAAATAAACACCATTGATCTTTATAATATCCTGTATCTCGTTTCGTTGCATTACACATTTCATTGAAATAATCGATGAAATAAAATTTACGGTCAGATATTGCGTAATGCGAATGATAGAGCGTGTCTGTATACTATTACTAGAAGTGTCTGCCAGTCGTGAAGCACTGGCATGAGGGTCAACTAACGACCTCGAGTCTACAAAAAGTTTCACTTTCTTCAGAGGTAGAAAGTGACTGTGGCCTTCGAAGTTAATCTATGATCTGTAGCCAATTGTATTCTCTCTATGCGCTTATTGTTAGCACATTTTTTTCAAACTTGAAAAATAAAAAGTATTAAAAAGTTTATTTCTTTGTTATTCACATTTGTTTTATTTTTTTGCATGAATTTCATTTTAGCTTATCATCTTGTTGTCTATCCTTTCTTAAATCTTATTATAGTTTATTTGATCAAAATTAATCGTTACAATAATTTTTTTCAAGAACTATTATTTCACCGTCAAATCAATCCTATGATTTTTACGGTCTATCGATCGTACGATGCCACAGGCGTATTATCATAACACACGCACGAGCAACACGAGAAGTGATAACTGCACGCAAGTGGCGCCTAAGCATTAGCGGAAGAGAATGATCTTCCGTATAATGGTAGAAGAATCCATAGGTCAGACAGTGAAATGTGCTTTCACTTGTAAAACAGCGATCGATGCGACGCGTCATCCTTCGAAATTTTAATAGAACGGAGAATTTAATAAAGATTTCTCGCCGGAATCGCGACTTTTTCTTATTCGTTAATTGATGTTAATCGTTTAATTAAGCCGACATCCTTGAGAAACTTTGAGCCATCATTTAAAGCGTGAGAGTTTATTTTCAAAAGGCCATTAACGTGTAAAGACAAATGAAAAGATTATTAATTAATATCATTATTGCATTTCTTTTTTATTTCTAGTTGTTTTTTAATTTATTTAATTTATGCAATTTAAAAAATATTTTTTAGATATTTAACAGAAATTATTACGAAATTATGTAAAATTATGAAAAAAGAGAAATTATTTAAGAGAAAAATGAGAATGATTAACATTATTAAATATTAATTATCTCTTATTTTATCTTTACGCGTTAACGGTCTTCTCTGAAAATGATGTCAACGACACACGTAACATTCAGGAAATGAGAAGTGCGGTCGATCAGGAATTTTCACTTCCGTCGATATAACATCTTCATTCTTTGTGATTTATCATTTACATGCAATCGAAGTGAAATCGTTGGAGATGCTATGCCAGATGGAGACGCATCAATTAATAGATTCTGCAATTATTGCATGACGCAAGCGTGAATCGACACGAATATAATCTTACGAAACTTGTGTCGGGACAAGCCCGTCGGTTTTAAAAATCCTGCTCGGGAGATCAATTTGAGGAACAAAGACCGAATTCTTCGCGAGATTTAAATATCGCGTAGACTTTCACTGGCCATTCGAAAAAGTCAAGATGTCGATTTGTTGCTGCAGGCAATTAAATCGATATTTACGTAACGTTATACACATAGATCTGCATTCCGATTGTTTGCTTGCGTTGCGCTATTAGTTAAATTTCACGAGCCATTAAAATAAGACGCACAAACGCGATGTCAAGAGGAATTTCCTCATGCGACCCATTAAATTATAAAGAAATGTAAAGCAGGATATTTACGGAGGGCAGAGAGAAACGCGAAGAGGTAAATGGGAGCATAAGATGCCGGTTTATGCGAAATTGTGCAAACCTGTCAATCCATAACGACACCGAGAAGCGTTCGACCCGTTGGTTACATGTAAGAAATGACATAAGAGAACAGGAGTCAAGAGAACATAAAAAGAGACAGAGATAAGAAGAGGGAAAATAATTCTGAGGAAACTGTGCCCTAATGTCGTAAAAAGTCTCGTTGAAAGTGTTTCGAGCTATGGAAATTATCGGTTTCGACAGATCCTATTTGAAGAACTAGCAAAAATTCCCAACATCGATAGTTTCTTCAAAAGGATACACAGAGTCGAGATTGCTGAATTCATTCTTAATCCCGTTACAATTAATCGACCGTATCCTCAATAAAGAAGAAAGGCGACGTACGAGAACATCGTTTCCTAGTAAAACAAGATAAATCGTTAACAATATCATTTAGAAACAGTTTACGTAAGTAATGCGTAACTCACGTCCGGGACGCATTATGTATATATCCGGGATATTCGTATAATGTCTATCAGCTTGTACTGCAAAGATGCTGCCTGTATAATTTCTTCGATTATACGACGTCTTATCCAAATCTGTTTGTTCTTTATTGGCCATATATGCCTCTCAGCCACTTTGTCAAGCTTAGGCTAACAAGAAGCTAGAAGAACTAGATATGCAAGAGGATTGACTGCCTTCATAAAAGCGAAATGCTTCTTCTGCGTGTACGTCACTTCCGGGATAAACTCTCACGCATACTTATCGGACACGGTACGCGGTAAAAGATGCCGAGTAATGTAAGCAACTGCTGCACGCAAGCAATAAGTTTCTTAAATGCATTTTTATTCCCCTTTATGTATCTTGTGCATGCTCCGAATGTAATAAACGTAAAAATTCTTCCTAAAAAAGTTTTCTTCTCGCTCGATGTATCGTAAACACATCTCAGTATTTTCTCTGATTAAAAAATATATTCTAGTTAAAATCAGATTACGTTTAAGATTTTTTTGATAATAATCGTTAAAAATAATAGTAATAAATAAAAAATAATTCGAATTGATGATTATATGACAGAAAAAGATATAAATAAATTTATTATTTACATATGTTATATAGTATTATTAATCATGATATATATTTATGTACCAAACAAAATCCGTAATACCCAAGTGTTAAAACGTGACTGGCACTTAGGTCATTACATTTTACGTTTATTTTAATTATCCGGAAATGATAGTTTAAGTAAGGGTAATAATGAAGGTTTGACGTGATTTCTGTTCTTGTGCAGTTCAATTATCCTGCGATTATTGTGCATTAGCTCGTATGCCTATGTGTTTCCAGTTTTAATTGAGTTCATTGTTGCGAAATGATATTACCAGGATTTATTGGCGAAATCATGCGCCGACTTCCCGGCCGTGGCATCTGTGCGGAACGAAGCCTTTCCAAAGGGATTTGAATAATCGAAAGACTGAAAAACAATTCTATGCACTTTCACAAGTTATGTTAAAATACAACAGATATATCTTTTATCGCGACCTCTTCTCGACGTTCAATAAAATAGTATATATTGCAAACTATAACTTAAAATTTCTTTATTTGATGTGCTCGCCTTCGCGTGAATGTTTCGTAGGGAGAGCTCGCAGGTGGAGAGTAAGCAGGCCTCATGGACGGCGGCGTTTCGTAGGGCGGATTTGTCGGTGGACCGTACGCAGGAGTCTTAGGCGGCTCCTGAGATGAACCTTCCGATGAACTGGCTGACAGACCAGCACTGCCGCTTGACGATGTGCCAGACAGATTTGCGCTAGAAGTTGACGACGTGGCCGACAGCTTCAAGAAGGCGCCGAGGACTTCCTTTAAGACCGCGGAAATCATGTCGTTTCCGTTTGTAGCCGCCTACAAAATTGATCGTGAAATTATTTCAGGCAAAAATAACGGCTATCTCTATGCGAGTGTGATAAGTATAATAGAAGATTATTTTTTTATCTCTTTTTTCATTTATTTTTATTGATTTTATTAAAGTTTTTATATTTATTATATAAGCACGAATTAAGCTTGTAAATGTCAATTCATATAAATTTAAAGTTTGTAAGAAATAATTGTGTGCTTACTGGTTTATAGTCGTAGGCACCATAACTGCCATAGGTTGTAGGCGCGTAATATGTATCTTTTTGACCGTAAGTCTTATGACCATAACTTTTATGACCGCTAGAACCAGCGCTAGCACCAGCAAGCACGCCTGACACAAGCGAACTTACAAGCGATTTCACGTCTGAATCACCTGCTGAAGCGGCGAGTTCCTAAAATGTAGATACAGAACATTGATCTAAATAATTTAGGGAAAATTTAAAATATATTTAAAATGTAAAAGAGAGAAATATATAATTATAAATAATCATATGGAGAAGGCATGCTAGTTTTATGATGCGTACTTTACTCAATCTAGCGGTGATACTGGCGATAAGGTTCGATAATACTGATTGTCCGTAAGGTCCCTGTGGCTAAAATCGACGAAAGTAAACAGATATAAATTATGATGCAAGATTGCAATTGTAAAAAAGATTACGAAGATTTATATGAGACACATATATACAATTATTTTGTTTATTTATTAATTACCGCGCTTAAAGGGCCAGCTACTGCTGTAATTATAGATGCCGATCCCTGTTTACCAGTGGGCTAAAAATAAAGTTAATCCTTCCGTTTATATCTGATATTGTATAAAAATCATGCGATTTTGTACTCTATAGTTGTATGAAATAAAATACAATACTTACACCACTACTGCTACGACTCAACGGACCGATCAGAGGCCCCAGAAGAGGTCCGATCAGCGGTGCTATCAGTTGAATGAGAGGTCCTAAAATGGCACCAGAGTCGCTACCCTCCCCTTCCGGGCCCTGGAATAAAGAGATTTAGCGTTCAGTTCTATCAAAAGTTATCATTCGATTCAATCTTACCTCGCTGAGTTTTTGGGAAAGTGGCAGGAAAACTCCAGGAATATCAATTCCATCATCGTCCGGCTAGAGAAGGCGACAAATATTCTTATACATCTTATATAATTAAATGTTTACAGATAATTTTCAGAATAGTATGTATAAAGCATTTTAATCTTACATCAGAGAGTCCCTCGAGAAGAGGAATCGCGGCTTGAAGCACTTCCACTACGTCGGTCTCGGAATTCGGCTAAAATATGGTATAGATTATTATTATTATTATTTTTCTCATATATTAAGTTTCTGAAATTGTATTGCAATGCAATACTGTGTGCACAACATTACACACAAATTGCAATATTCTTAAACACAAATGCAATATTCAAAAATATTTCAACGATATTACAAGTTTGTGTGTGTATCGATATATCATCTTACATCACTAAGGTCTTCGAGAATCGGCGCAGCTAACGGTAGTAAATCGATCAGAGCTTGTATAGATCCACCCTCTTCTTCCTCTTCGTCATCATCGTCCTGCGAAATTATGCATTGCGAATAGTATTGCGTATATTATAATAAAATAATAATCGATAGAACGTAGCGTTTTTATAATAAAGGAAAATATAAAGAGACTATATACGTTCAGTTCCTGTGCTTGATTGGTCGTTTCATTGCGGCTTTCTTGATCAGGCGGCGTCTGAAATAAACATACATAATTGCATTTTAAATCACGACTTTTTCATAGTAAATAAATAATTATTGTCACATGAATTACAAGATAATTCAAATTGTGCAAATAAACGAGTTATATTATTACCGTGAGTTAAAAGTGTGAAAAAATTATTCGTAATTTTTCATTAATTCATCGCTTTATATTATTGGATTTTTATTGATGCGCAGTCAATGTTGGTTCATAAATTTCGTCACAATTTCTGTTTATGATAGATTAAAAGAGGAATTTGCCGCACCTGGTCCTCAGTTGTGCAATAGATTACTGACACGATGTTCTTTCATACATATTTATGCGCTGGAATAGCCATCAGATTGCAAATATCGTGGTTAACCGATTGCGAACTACGCGAATTTCACTTTTTTCTTATTATCGCTGTTATTAATCTCTACCAACCAAAAGAATGTCTTTGTATGATGACCCAGTAATAATTAACTAAGCCACGTGTTAAAGTAAAATACAATAGCTTTAATGAACGATTCACTCAAGAATAATATGCGTTATATTGCAACATAATTTAATCCCTAAACGCGAATGCAAATGCAAGATAAACTTTCACGTTTAAGATTCGCTCGTCGTATTATCAAGCGCGACTATTGATCTCTCACTTGACTTTTTATAATAGTTTCGCAAATATTATTACGCGATAACTGCAATCTTTTCATAATCATTAAATCAACGCCAAGTTTTTAGATATATCGATATATCAGGTGATTGCATAAGTTCGTGCCCGATTTAAATATAAACTTCAATAGATTATATTTTAGTTCTTTTTCTTTTCTTATTACGATATATATTTATTTCGCAAAGTATTTTTTACACCGTGACGTTTATCGGTTTGAAAGTTAGTTATTTAATTACATGCCTTTGGAATTACGTTGCTTGCAATCTACTCACCTCGTCGAAAGTCACCTGTATCTTCTGTGGGTTTGTACCTTTCAAGATAGAGAGTACAGGCGTCGCGACATTAATCTCGGTAGTATTCTTCGGTAGTTTTCTCAGGACCCCCAACATTCTCAACAAATCGCCAAATATGGACGGTTGTCGCTTTCTCGATTTTTCTTGTCTTTTCGAACTTTTCGTCTTTTTTTCATTTTTCTTTTTCTGTTCATCTTGCTCCTCTGCCTCTTCTTCTTGTTCTTCCTTTCTTACAAATTCATTCGTTTTCTTTCTGTTTGTATTTGTACCCGGATCATTGAAAACAACGTTGATTTGTCCAGATTCGTTCGTAAGTGTGTAATTTTTTTCGAAATCTTTTTCAAATTGCGAAAAGGAATCCCTAGGACGAAACGCTAAATAATCCTTCGGCTGCGTATTCAAGACCGTCGTAGCTGTTGGAAGCTGGCTAGTGATGGTTATCACCGCTTGAAATGGGAAGGTTAACAGAGGTTCACCTAAACGTGACAGATTCGCTGTCAATTCATCGCTTATGGCGATTGGTAGCGTCTGTCCGAGCTCATTGTCGAAGGCCTTGGACATCGGAAGATATGGCGAAGATGGAGGCTGCGCCAAGATATCGAAATTCCCAAAAGTATCAATCTCACTTTGCTGAAAGGGATTTTCAAAGTTCGCGTTAAAGTTTATATTGGAATTCGCGAAATTCGCGTTAGTCGGTCCATTGATATTTGAAGAAGAAAAACCGAAAGGATCCTGCGGATTGGACGTGGCAGTTTTCATTCCTCCTAAAGACAATGGATAAGCTATCACTTTTTCATCTCCTCTTTGCATATGGGGTCCCTTGAGTCTTCGGGTCGGATAATTGAAACCTTGTCGTTTCTCACTAAAAGGCGCCTTCTTCATCATCTCCTTCGATTTGGTGGCCGAGTTGTCCGCAAGGGACACTCGTTTCTCGGATGACAGGGCGTCCTTTAAACCAGACGACGTGAAATTCATCTTGGATGTTACCAGACCCATCACGTACTTAGACCAAGCTACTATATCTTGCTTCGAAGTAATCTTGAGCGGTAGCTGGAACTCCAGAATCCTCGGAGAGGCCGAGAAGCCTTGTTCGCTTCCGCTTGTCGAACGTTTTCGAGACTTGAGAGGCACCGAAACCACGAGATCGGACATTATTAAAATTAAAATGCAATTTGAACGGGACAGTATCCTCGACAGTACAAAAAGCATCTTGAAAATCGATATTCTTCTCCAAACGGTATTATCTTGCTTAAGTAGTTTTAGATTTTAGGTATAATTAGCAGGCGATTGTAATACCATGATTTTCAGGAAAAGAAAATGACATTACATTTTCTTTTATTTCTGTTTATTTTCTCGACGGAATTTTCTGAATGTGTTTAATAATCTCAAAATAATATAGTTAAATTAAGTCATAGCTTTTCAAATAATAACACACTTGTGACTTCGACCTCACACTTTGCCCACTGACCGTGACCAATACTAATTTACACGTCAGATTGATAGTTTAATTAAGAAGATCATTCATTTTTTTTTTTTTTAATCAGAGGCAACTAGATGCACTGTTCTCGCGCGGAAGGACACGAGGATTGTACTTGAAGAACTGGACAGTTGAATAGAAAAATGGTTGCTTTATAGGCTGAGCCTAATCAGAGGTCTGTTTTTTCCCTGATCGCGGAAGCGTGCACTTTTTTCCATGCACCATCGGGATATCGGCTTCGCTAATCATAGTGCGCCGGATCGGGGGCGGCCGCGCTCACTTCCGTCGTTGCGTTTCCTTCGACGAGGTCTTTCTCTCTCCGGCATTTAGGTAATTATGCGCATACGCGGGCGGGCATGTAATGCGACGAAACGCACGTGATGACAGGCGAGAGCGGCTTTCGTAAAGGCGGCGCGAGTATCCAATTTTGAAACGTATCGTAAATGGGGGAATTTCTTTACTGGAGGCGGGTGTTACGTTAAGAGCCAGCGACGACGAGCGAGACTTTGATTACTGCGCGATTAAGCGATTGCGCTTTAACCATCGTTGATGCGCGGAACTCGTCGAAACGAGTTCGTCGTTTACGCGTTTTCTTCCGGGTGGAACAACCTCATCGACATCAAACGTTATGTTTCGCAATACTTAGCTTCATTAAACCAGTTGTCAAACTAAACGTAACGTCCCGGTACGATCGATTATTTACTAAATTGCATCGTTAGAAATTTTATTATACGGTTATTAAAACACGATATCTGACAGATATCTGATAGATAGCGAATTTTTTAAAAAATTTCGTTTTAAAGTCTATAATACGGTGTGTTTTTACTTTGGCGAAAAATCCGCACACACACACACACACACATTTCCGCGTCTCTTATGATCCATCATAAGGCAGAATCGAAAAAGTAAAACTGTGGCTCGCACACACACACACACACACACACACACATTTCCGCGTCTCTTATGATCCATCATAAGGCAGAATCGAAAAAGTAAAACTGTGACAGTAGAATAAATTTATCTACGCCATGACCGTGATCATGATCTTGAAATTCTAAGCGGTAACAATGAGAGAACAAGTCCCGGTAATGAGCTATAGTATTCCGTTTCTCGTAAGGCACAAAGCAAAGACGCGTTCGCACCCACTTACGCTAATAATAGTTCTCACGACTAAACCGTCGAAAGGTGTCGGATTTACAATAGTTAAGCGTACATAAAGAAATGCGAAAAAAAGAACCAACAAAAATCTGAATTAGAAAATTATATTACATGATTTTTTTCGAATAATTTATACATCCTGCAACTAATCATATTAAAAATAGCTTATGTATTATAATAATTATAGTAAATCCTTTAAAATAGATTTTTTCAATTCATAAACAATTACACGAAACAAGTTGCCTAAATTAATCGATTTCTAATAAAATAAACAATGAAAATAAATAAAAATAAATAATATCAAAATGTCTTAAAAATATTAAAAGCAAAAATATATAAATTCAGATGTAAAATAATCGATTCATATTATTTTGGTGAGATATATAAATTTTAAACATGAAACAAAAAAGGAAAGAAAGAGAAAACTAAAGGCGATATATCAAATGTCGTAATATATTAAAATTATAGGACATATTATTTGCAAAATCTCATAATATGATACGCAACAAAAATAAGCGGATATCGGTAAAATGTCAGTTGTACGTATTTCTTCAATAACAGGAATGATCGGTTACATCTGGTAACCTTTCACTTTTTCAGCCTTTTAAAGAAGGCCGAAAAAAAAGGTTGGCGTAAAATTTGCAAATATTACAGTCACTATAATTAAATGGCAATACCAACAGGATTCCCACAAAAAGATACAGTGTCACTATTTAGGAGAAATATAATTGCAGGATTTAAAATGTATAGAGTATTTTAAAAAGAGGCATATATATCAACGCACGTATTCTTTTATAGAGGACAGTAATAATAATTTGTGCGCGATAAAATTTTTGTATTTTTCACTTAACAAATATTTTTCTCAACAATAAGTATTTTGCAAAATATTTTTTCTAATATCAATATTTAACTCAAACTATCATTAAGATAGCAAAACACGATGACTTGATGATGTGCAATCGAGCGCGACAAAATCAACGTGACGGGGAAAAAGAATGAAACATATGAAACCAACGGACTTTCCATTGTACAAATGCACTGTCAGTATGCATCGTACTGTCGAACCATTTGCGCGATTCGCATTATCGTGTTTGGAAGGTGTCCTTCCGTCTATATCTGGTAAAATTACACTAATTTTCGCAATTTTCACAGAAAAAGGAAAAAGAAAAGCGCTTAAGAATTAGCTACGCAAATAATCCAGTTAGAAATATAAAATATATAAATAAAATATAAATATTTAATTTATATTTATAGGTAAATACATATTAAATTATGATCATTTGATTAAAATAAATATAAATATAAAGATATAAATACAAGTTTGCAAATTAACATGACCATTGATATTTTAAAAAAAATTAATAGTGTGATAAAACAAAGAAATTCTATTGGTTTCATGTGTTATATCTTGTTTCAAAAGCCGATTATTATAATGCTGAATCATTATAGTACATTAAAAAAACTTACAAACAAATACTGAAATATATTGCCAATTATAAAGGAAGTTGGATTAGTCAGCGATGAGATAAAAACTGGTTTCCTTACAATTTACGTAAATTTTTATCACTGATCAACATCTACCTTTCATATCGATCAATTGCTCCGTGTGAGCCAATTTATTCTAATAAACTAGGTTGTAGACTAATTGTAATAAGATATCCTTAATTTCTAGCTAATATGAGTCAATTGGCTTAAGAAAATTACATCGTCGTCCATGCGTTAGATGAACGTACAAAAAAAAGTGAAAGTCTCTCAACTTCATTAATAGGTCTAATAAAGATACAATTTAATCAAACATTTATTTCACATTATAAATAATCTTTGTGTAACATCTGGATCAAATCTGAGTAAATTGGCTCTTCTTTTAGCACCAAACATTTAACAAATATATCAATTGGATGGCGAAAATGAAAAATATACTGCGTGAATGTCTGTTATTAAAATTTGTCAGGTAGCAATTAAAGTTTAAAATATTATTGATGCACATAAAGGTGTCTCCGTCTGGCGAACATTCACCAAAGCCTGAGCGCTAATCGAGGTCTTTCTGTTCCCCACAGTTGTCTTATTAAAGTAACTGTCGGTAAAATCGCCATGATAGTGAAAACATTTCAAGTTCATCTATCCGATAAAAAATCCGGAAATATCTGCGTCGCCCGCGCCGCTTGTTTGTATGATGAAGCTATAATATTATCTGCAAAATAAGAGGCACTAAAAGCTATTGATACTGATCTGTTTATCACGATCGCATACTATAAATAAATTTTATTTTCTCTCGCAATAAAATTTATAATTTATGTTAATTAAATACAATTAATCGTAGATGCGATATTAAAATTAAATATTCTAATAAAGTCGATATAAACGCTAAATGTATGTTTTGCTAAATTTTGCGGCTTTAATTAGAAGCCATAAGATTGATAAATTTATGTGCAGATTAAAATCAGTATCTTTTCAAAATCTTCTTATGTAATTTTTATTAGGAGGATCACATTTCGTGTCTTGTTCGTTTCGGCAAGTCGATTTTTCGATTTATTACAAATTTGTGTAGCGTATGTGTTTGTATGTGATTTGCACATGTAAATTATATTACAAAATTACATATTTGAATAATACATATGTAATAATAATATAATATAATATGAATAGTACGTCTGTCACGTTTCTGTGACGTAAAATGCTTTAAATGAAATAAACAGTTTTTTTTTGCAAATAGTTTCTATTACTTTAAATATATACGCAATATATATGCTGAAGCTATCATTGTGCCTACATAATTAATTAATTTTAATTTTATGTCATTGTAAACATCTATATAATTGCAAATTTATTTACTATTTATTTCAGCAATAACCATTCCTGTGTAGAAATATGGAGAGAAAACCGCGAAAGAGCTCGATCTTTTCGCCTTTTCGCAAATACAACGTAATAATCAATCGATTCAAAGAATCGATCAATAAAAATCGCAATGTAAAGAGAGATAAACCTTTGCACTGTTACGCCAATTAATGATCGTTTTCACTCTTATCCCGCGCGAGAAAAAATGTAGTGAACCCAGCGTCGCCCTGCGTTACACCAAGAATCAAGTATTAATGTGAAACTCATGTTTTAGATGCAATTGAGTAACGTACGGCCGATTACACCCGATTGCAACCGGATCCGCGATTGAACGGACCTGCAAATCTCGTAACAGCAAGGTTAACAACATTTGCGCTGTGGACAATTCTTTTCGACTTCAGGCGATTATAGTCACTGTGTCTGGATAATTCAAAAGTCGGACGAGCTATTTCCAATTTGCAGCGTGAAAGGCAAGAATAATAGCGCAAACTACTCAAAAAAGCTGAGAGAATGATGCTCAAAAAAATTATACTCAATAGGTCCAATTTAGATTGAAGTGCAGGTAATTCTTTATTATTAAGGTACGTGCATGTAAGGTATTACGGTAAAGAATATTTTTCTATAATTCTAGGTTCCTACGTAATATATAATATAAACGCATAAATAAAAGTTTTTATTACTTTATTTTATTTAGAAAATATTTTGCAACATTATATTATCGTAGAAGATTCGCTTGAAATTTATGTACATTTTCACTTTTATTACAACGCTTTTCATAAAACTTCGCTTGATTGTATTAATCTCGAAATTCTGCCTCTATTACAATCTCCGTTTCACGGCGAACAAAATCGTGCCACTTTCATTAGAGAATTCGTTTCCGGTTCAACAATCAAAAATACATTATA